AGGGTTTAGGGTTTAGGGAGCCTGAGCCCTGACTGCAGGCTCCACCACACAGTTTGAGATGATGGGATCCGTTCTATCCAAGCAGCTGGCATCTGCAGTGGCCTTGTCACTTCATAACTCATGATGCGAGGCTGCCCGACCGATTCATGTCGTACCGAAGAGGTTGTGAGAGTATTTGCAGTCTGAGAGTTCGCGGGAGCTTTTCTTCGGACAGGAGGGTGCAGTTCTGAGAGACAGGACGGTCATGGAAGCTGATGAACCCGAAACCCCAAACCCAAAGGCCCTAAACAATGTGGGCGTCCATGTGTGAAATGAACAACGTATCACTTGCCTCACTGGTCGTTGCCAGGCAATCGAGACTGACATAGCCACACGTAAACCAGGGATGCCGCAGCAGCGCGCAAGGCATTGCTTTCGAAACCCAGTGCAGGCTCGAAGATTCAGGTATGTCGTTCTTCGAAAAGTTTACTTTGCGGGCAGACTGGGGTTTTTCCGCCATCCAGATACTCTCAACAGAGCGGCAACTTGCAGCCCCTCTCAGTGGCTGACATGATGTGCAGCTGTTCAAGCTGCAACCAGCATCAGCGACCGATGTGCAAGATGATGTACGGTTGTAAGAGGTGTCCACCAATAACATGCCCTCACCCTAAACCCTTGTCCTTGATGCGTCCCATGCCGCCGGCAATCTGCTTATGCCCTTCAATGATGAGCGGCAAGGGGGTGCGAAAGTTCTCTGGCATGAAGCTGCACGGACATTCCCTGGTTGCTTCTCTTCGCCTGAGTTGAGCCCTAGAGCCTGCGCCGTGGGAATTCGGACGAGCTGGGTCGCAAAAGGCCGTGAAGATTTTAAGTCTTGAAGCCCGCGGGTCAGACCCACTCCACTGCACAGTCCGCAGAGTAGCTCTGTGCAGTCCTACGCCGCCTTGTTTTTGGCAGTTGTTTCGCTGTTCCACAGTGTTTTGCTACGAGAAGCCATGGTTCAAATCACGGGACCCCTCTATAGACCCTAAAGAGTGGGATCCTCAAGAAAATGCAATAAAGAGACCCCCGTTGTCTGCGAAAAGGAGCGGTTGAGACGGACTGGAGGCTTGGTGCATCTGCTTTGGAATTTTCGGAGCCTTCCTAGCATCTCTCGGGGGAAATGGAGGGTTGATGATGTCCTTCCGAGCGCGCTAGACGTCGTTGATACGTCCCTCTGCACCAAGCTCCGGTCTCCCGGCCTAGTAGCAGCCTTCAGGCAGAAAGCGCGTCAGTGGTGCTGCATGCCTGTCAGGATGGGCGGGGCTTCACGATCTAGGAATCTCTAGGAATCTAGGATGCCAGAGGATACAAGAAAGTGTTGTCGAGGCTTCGAGTTTTAGCTCTCTGTGCGTGTGTCGTGCTTGGGGCGGAGATGACAAACAGCTGGCCGAGTCCAACTTTGTGGCTTGGACGACGCCAATGCCACGATCGGACCCGACCCCATGCCCTAAGCTGCCTTTGTTGCCGGGCCAATGCTTGGCTTGTATCTTGCCGGCCACCAAAATCCATCTAGGAATCCAGGGCAGAGTTTATATGGCTGTGTTTTGCCCAGCAGTTCGACGAGTGGGTGCTTGATCCTGCACCTGGCAAGTAGGATTCTTACTCAGCGGGAGGCAGGAAGCTTCCCTCCATCCCAAAACCGCAATCCATACACCCTGAGTCCGGCTTGTCTCGACATGTCACTTGTCTCGGTGACGGCCATGGCCTGCACTTGCTGCACGGCCGAGATCTTTACAGGAAAGGCTGGCGCCTGCGCCGCAGCACCTGGGAACTTTCGCTCGGGGCGTAGGCTTTCCGCCCTTCGCAAGAGGGTTCTGGGAGCTTTCCGTTGAGACGGGGAGCTCCATTTCTGGGAAAAATCGGCTTCCACGGGTGGGGGCCACTTTGAGCTTCGGTCCCGGTTCCTGTGTTCTTCCATGTAGGGCTTAGGGCCCTTAAACCCTAAACCCTAAACGCCCTAAACCCTAAAGTTTTGGGATTCAGGTGCCAGGGTTGCCCAGTCTTTCAGGGGGCGCAGCCTCCCTGGAGGGAGCCGCAGCCTTCAGCAGCAATGAAGTGTTGCGTGTTGCCCTAGTGCACTTTCTGAGGATCACTCGAAGCCGGCCAGCACCGCGACGGATTGCCTTTAGATCCGGCAGCCTGGCTTGAGCCTTGAACCCCAAGCCTAGATCTAAATCACAGCGTTTGGCGCGATTCTCTGCTTGTTGGGGCGTGGCAGAGGAGGAGGTTTGCTCCCGGGGACCTTTTCCTGGCTCTGTGAGCTTTCAAAGAGTTGAAAATTGTGGCCCCATTGTAGGGTCAACTCAGCACTGAGAACCTGAACCCTAAACCCTAAACCCTAAACCCTACACCCTAAACCCTAAACCGCTGCGGCCTTGACGTCTTCGATTTTTGGATTCTCTCGAAGTCGGCTCCGACTCGAGGCTTTCGCTTTTGGAGCCGCTCGGGTTTTTTCTCGCCCGTCTTGAGAAACAGCCTCCTCGTGACGAGGGATGGCCTGGTGGCTATCGTGGTTTAGGGTTAGGGGTTTAGGGTTCGTGGTCTTTCGGGAGAGCCGGGGCTTCCGAAGTGTGCGCGCAGACGCTTGTCGTGCAGTCGCAATGGCACTGTGACCAGAACTCCAGTAGTTCACTCGGGTGTTTCGCTGATAGCCAGAAAGGCCCCGAAGGTTTAAGCCCTGAAGCCTGTAACCCGGACGTACCTTGCCACACAGGCCGCAGATTGGCAGGGTTGAGAGCAGAGCTTCGTTTTGCCGCGACTCCTTCTGTTAGGCACCTCTTTCTTTTTTGAAAACAAACACATGAGGCCGACACGACCGAAGGGGTTTTAGAAGTTAGTGGGCAGCACTTTCGACCCTGCGGAGTCGCATCCTAAGTAAACAGCTCCCTAGTGTCTGAAGCTCGGGAGGCCGTCTCCGTAGGCTTGGTGCCCGGGCTTTGGGCTTCTGGGTTGGCCTCTCGATCTTGGAGGCTTCTTGGAGTCTCTGTGTCTGGGTGTTGGGTTTAGGGTTTTGGGTCGCCCTAGAGTCGCGGTCACGCTTAATAACTGCGCAACTTCCGAGCGCGCTAGACGTCGTTGATACGTCCCTCTGCACCAAGCTCCGGTCTCCCGGCCTAGTAGCAGCCTTCAGGCAGAAAGCGCGTCAGTGGTGCTGCATGCCTGTCAGGATGGGCGGGGCTTCACGATCTAGGAATCTCTAGGTATCTAGGATGCCAGAGGATACAAGAAAGTGTTGTCGAGGCTTCGAGTTTTAGCTCTCTGTGCGTGTGTCGTGCTTGGGGCGGAGATGACAAACAGCTGGCCGAGAGTACAACTTTGGGGCCTGTCATCTCCATTGCACCTCTCCAGCCTCAATGCAGCATGAAACACTGTGCATATTTTCTTGTCCGGTTTCTGTCGAAAGGGATGCACCCCGTGAGACCACGAAGCATTGCTTTTCCTTCGCACCCTGCTCGGGGAGGGTCTTGTCCTCAAGAACTCCGATCTCAAGAAGTCCTGTGGCTCGATCATGCAGCTCAGATCTGAAGCTTTCGGGCTTAGGGCTTAGGGTTTGGGGTTTAGGGTTTGGGGTTTAGGGTTTAGGGTTTAGGGTTTAGGGTTTATTTGGCCGTAGCACCTGTCTATCGCAGCATCTCCGCTGCAAAAGCTGTTGCACAGGCACATTCCACCACCATTCTCGCGTGACAGCCTTGGCATAGACCATGAGGTCGCGTAGTCACGAAGTGGCACCGAAGACATGTGAAGTAGTCTAAGTCATAACCGTGATCTCCCCTAAACCCTAAACCCTGAGCCCTAAACCCTACCAGCTTCCTTGCGCCACAGCTGAAGAATACCGAATGCCGATTTCTCTGAGGCCCCCCGAAGACCCGCAATGTCGAACGACTTTAATCCATCCGATGCAAGGTCGAAGGCCGTTACTGAAGGCTGCATCGTGACGGCTTGTGCCGGCAGCTCTGTCCAGCTTCGACTCGGTCGTACATGCGGCGCAGGGAGTGTTGAGCACTTCGCCCATCGGGTTGTTCAACGGCATTCCGTCTGCTGCTGGAGCCAAACCTGCCCGCGTGAGCTCGCCTAGCCGGACATGGACTTCCCTTTCGGCTTGCGCAACTTGTGCCATCGAGACGTTCTCGTATCCATCAAGCAGCTCTTTCTGAAACTCATTGAAAAGCAACGCAATCAATTCGTCCTGAACACTGAAGCTCATGACTTGCGCCATTGCAGAGGCAATCCCTCGTCTGCGAAGTGCTTGTACTTCCAGCTCACAGCCCACCACGGCTTGCACCCAAAACCCCTTATCAACTTCGGGAATGAGACCGTTCTTGTCGGGCTGCCACACCTTCATAGAAGTCAGCTCCTTGGCGGCATTGATTTCTTGCGAGGACATGTGTTTGTACCCACGCGAGCTTGGGCCGGCAATGGCTGGTTGCTCGCGGAGGACGGCATGATGAAGTGGCTCCGCCATGCAGAGCCTCGAGATCTTCGAGTCCATGGGCTCCGTGCCGGAACCTGGCAGGCCGAAGCCTTTGCAGCCAAGCCGAGCCGAGACCAGAGCCGAGCAAGGCCAGGTCGTCACAAGGAGTTTTCGTGGCCTGGAACGCCAGAGCGGCGTGCAGGGAATATATTGGGATACGCGGAGTAAGGTGCTTCTAGGAGGGCATTTTTGTGGGTTTTTGCAGTTCTGAAACTCTGAAACACCATGCCGTCCGATACTGCAGTGGCATGGGGCGGCCTATGATTTACGCACCTCCATATCTCTTTCACCCGCTTGGTTTACACATGCACTTGATGCGGAATGCTCGAGCTTCTGCAACAGCATGCACTAGTGTGTGAACATGCATCTGCTGGGAGTGCTCTGCAAAGCTTCCATAGCACGCGGCACATGCTTGCAGACACCTTGTCCACCGCTTTGTGCTACCGGCGGACTGTGCCAAGGATCCAGGCCTTTATGCAGCTTCTGTTGAGTATTTTGCCAGGTCTAAACCCTAAACCCCTAAACCCTAAACCCTATAAACCCCTAAACCCCCTGCTTCGAAGCATCAGGCTTTCCCTTCCCATGAGAAGCCACAGAAGAGATGTTCATGCCCGCAGCGTCAAGTCTTGAGAGCTTTGCAGCCCCTTCCCGTGCCCAAACGTGCCTATGTATGCTCTCACGACCACTTCCTCCTTGAACATTTCGGGCTTTTTCGGCTCCCCAGGCTACAACTGCTGGAGAGGCTGGAGCGTGGGTGGCTTTCGGGAATGTTCTTGTTGTTTTGAAGACTTCGAGTCCTCCAAACGCAGGGCCTGCTTGGAGGTTTCTGGGTAGTGATAAGTGGCGTTATAAGTCCCTGAAGGTGGGTTGTAACTGTAGTTACCCTACTTGTAAGCCCAACTAGAATTACCCATGAACCTCCAAGTACTGGAAGCAGGCCAGCGCAGGACTGCAGTTGGCGAGTCTCTTGGACAGCACCGGGCAAACGGCGTAGGCTCAACTTCCCCATTTCCCAGCACATGAAGCTGGGCCGCAGCGAAGCGGAAGCCTTGAAGGCGGCGCTTCAGGAGGCCAAGGCTTTCCGTGAGGGGCTCGTGCGCCAGGGGAGGCTGAAGCCACCGAAGCCAATCACCGAGACCGGCTCTACGGTGAGGGGCATAGGTTACAAGAAATGCTTTGGAGTGGAAGGGCCATCGGGCTTCGCAGCTGAGACTGACGGGACCAACGGCCATCAAAACCTAGACTTGCTTTCTGCCACCGTGAGAACCTTCAGTTAATTTGCAAGAGCTGCTTTGCTTACGGTGCCGTCCGAAGATGTGCAGCCGACATGAGAGTGGCTTGAGAGGGGCTGTTGCTCACGTCCCTGCGCCCCTACGCGCCCCAGAGTGACTTATGTGTCAGCTTCCTTCATGCAAGCCGCTGTGGTACACCTCACAACTCACCGGGGGTACAGCAAGTGCACCATAAACCTTAAACCCTATAAACCCTAAACCCTATAAACCCCTAAACCCCACGAGCCCACATGGAGAAGCTTTGAGCCCCAAAATGCTGAGCTCGCTGTTCTTGCGAAGGCAAGGCAGACACCACTGCCACTCCGGACGGCGGGATCGGAGCGTAATGAGTTCAGCGAGTGCACCTTCAGCCGAAAAGTCTCAACGGCCCAGGCCGCGTAACTTGACGCAAGGGGCCCTCTAAAGTGCACCGGCCTTTGCCCGAAGTCTCTGCAAGGAGTCCCTAAACCTAAACCCTAAACCCTAAACCCTAAACCCTAAACCCAAAACCCTAAACCCTCTGACAGGTCGTGGCCTGCAGCTTTTCTCTTCATAGCGCCAGGGGCGTTGTTTCCCACAGCTCAGCTTCCGAAGGGGCTGAAGCCCCGTCGCCACTGCTCTATCCACGCAGACCCCACTGCTCCCGTAGAAGTGAGACTCTCACCAGGTCATTACATCGCGTGCTAGGCTGATCCCGACGGCCCAGATCTGTGAACTCGGCAGCAAGGTCATCCTGTTCTTGGCATCGTCCGCGGCGTCTGCACGACCAGTGTTGGTGCAGTCGTTCCAGCGACCAAATCCTGCGACCCTACCGTGAAGCAGTCCCGAGCACGCAGAAGCTGATGAGGATGCTTAACCTCAATTGGTGGACGCCTTTTGCTGCTGGTGGCGCTTGCCATTGTCAGCTTCGTTCCGGGTGCAAGGATTGCGGCTTGGGCGAAGATCTGCAATTCGCAGCTCAGGCTGCAGAGACGGGGCCCGTCTACAACCGGTAGCAACATCATTCCGAAGACGATGAACCGGTCGGTCAGGGTTCGCCCTGCAGCTTCTGGCCCATCGACTCGGGGCGTGGCTTGCAGAGGTGTTGGGCACCTTGAGTTGTGAGCCGACAGCTTCACCGATTTGCGTCAGGGCAAGCTGCTGACGTTACCTTGCCGCACTGAGGTGATAGGGATTAACCCATCTTCGCGATTCCATCTTGCCGTAGTGAAGTGGTAGGATTAAATGTTGGATTTCACATCTTCCCGAGGCACTGCTAGCCGGCTGCACAAATGAGGAATACTAAGGGTGTCCTCACTCAGCTATGCCCAGAGTCGTCACTCTGAGCTTCATGCATTGAAATTTCATTCCCCGCACTTTGATTCCGGGCCATGATGCCGGAGCTGTCAGATTCTTATTGCCGCCAACTCACTCACGAAAGCCCTCTTGTTGCAAGTCTCTGGGATTCTCCGGTTGGCTTTGGCAGCCAGTGTCTTGGTCTTCAATCGCCCCTTCCTGGTATCGACATTCGAGGATCGGGAAGTCCCGTGTTGGGACCCCGACTACAACGCTTTCCCGGAGCGGCATGTCGTTGCCTTGATCCCAGCACTCACAGTGCTTGGAAAAATTTGAAAGTGTGAGTCAAAGCAGTCACCCAGTGAACCCGGGGATGCGACCGGCGGTCGACATGCTTTAGGCACACTCTGTGCGAGGAGGTGAAAAGATGCCCCGCTGTTATCCGCTGTTCGTCTTTGGACAGAATTTTTGTGAGAACCATGCACCCTAAGCTTCAACTTAAACCCTAGACCTTAACCCCCAAAACCTCAAAAACCTAGGCGCCCAGCCCGGAATCCTTCAGCTTGAAACCCCGAACCTTGAACCATCACCTTCTTCTGCATCAACAGGACCAGCTCGGAGACCGACGCAAGGTTTAGCACTTAGGTCCTAGAATACGCGTGTTTCATCGTGTTTCCTCAATCTCTGTCCGTCTCGCTCTCTCTATCTCTCTGTCTCTGTATCTCTCAGTTCTCTATCTCTTTGCCCCAAAATCTTATTCTAGTTTTTAAAGGCCCCTATATTAGTAGAGATTGTGAGCTCGCGAGAGATAGTCGTCCATGTGCAGGCTCCTCAATACGAGCCCCAAAGCCGCAACTCTAAGCCAACGGCTCCAACAAACTAGACCCTAAGCGCATGAACCTTGCAAAAGGGTTTAGGGTTTAGGGTTTAGGAACTTTGAGGTCAATACTATTATAATTATCATGAAGAGCAATCACGTCAAAAGGGTGCAACAAGGAGATGCTTGGGCAGGGCTTTCCCGGAAAAATCCGTCCTTGGGATTTAGCGTCAAGGCGGGCCTCAACCCTGAACCCCAACCCCCCAAACACCCTAAACCCCTAAACCCGCTAAACCCTCCAAACCCCCCAAACCCCCCAAACCCCCCAAACCCCCTAAACCCCAAAACCTCCTAAACCCCCTAAACCCCGATACCCCTAAACCCGCTAAATCTCCTAAACCCCAAAGCCCTCAACTCGAAACCCGGCCTAGGCTTAGGGGCTACACCCCGATTCGGTTGCCGACAGCCCGAAGCCCTAAACGCTTAAACCAAACCATGGACGTGGCGCTTCCACTGCTGCGCTTGGGTGCCATGGAATGATTGGCTTTCTCTCTGAACTTAGGGTTAAGGGTTTAGGGTTTAGGTTTTAGGGTTTAGGTGTTAGGGTTTAGGGTTTAGGGTTTAGGGTAACCTTAATCCCTAAACCCTAAGCAGTTTTCGAGAGGGTTTGGGGTTTGAGTCTTGGGAGTTTCAATGGTTCTGGGCTGTGCACTTTGGGATTCCGAAGTCTTTGTTTTTGGTCTCGGGTTTAGGTTTTTAGGTTTTAGGGTGTAGGGCTTAGGGTGACCCTCATAGTCTAGGTGCCAACCCTAAACGCTAAACCCTAAACCCTGGTGCAAGCATGGAGAGTGCTGGTTGCGTCAGCCCCACGATCACTTATCTCCATCAGAGCCTGCAGCCCCGCTAACCTAGTTGTGAATCATTTTAGGGCTTAGGATTTAGGGTCCAAGGGTTTAGGGTTTGGGGCTTACGGCTCAATGTTCAGGGTTTAGGGATTTATGGTTTAGGGTTTACGGTTTAGGGCTTTGGGTTTAGGGTTTAGGGTTTAGGGATCCTAAATGTTGCACCCTAAACCCTACACCTTTTGTTGATGGATGTCGATGGACCTACGGATTATGCAACGCTTCCCATACTACTGGGTACTTGGCTTGTTGCATAAGTTTGTGCATTTGCGATGCACCCTAAACCCTAAACCCTAAACCCCATATAAACCTTGGAGATCCCTGGAACCTAAATTTAAGAGCCTCCGGCACAGGAGTGAGAGGAAAGGACGCGAGGGGTTAGGAGTCAACGCCGCGTCCTTTGCACTGAGGACAGTCTTGGGAGGGCCCGATGGGCTTTCTGTTACCTTGCCCAGCTCATAACGGTTTAGGGTTAAGGGTTTAGGGTTTAGGGTTTAGGGTTTAGGGTTTAGGGTTTAGGGTTTTAGGGTTTAGGGTTTAGGAGTATGTAGGGGCGTCTGGTGGGCCGAAAGGCCCCCGGCCCACCCTCGGGGGCGTCTCGTGGGCTGTTTTCATGTTTGCAAAGATCTCACCAGACCGTGTCCAGTCGGTACGGGGAGGGGGAAGAGAAGGGGAGGGGGGACGGGCGAGAGGAGGCCAGGCCCAGCGCAGGCAAGCCTGCCTGCAGAAGGTGAGCACAGAGAGGGGGAGGGAAGGGCAGATTTAAGGGACGGGGGAAGGGCGTGGGGGGTCGGGGGGGGCGCCGAAACCAAAGGGGTGGAGGGGAGGCAAGGAAAAACGAGGGCTCAATTCGGCCCAAAGGTCTGTCAACGCCACGCTGTGCAGGCCCAGCGTCCTCTATGATGCGCGGGATTTTGGTGTGGGAGGAAGGAAAGAGGGAGGTTGACACCTCCCAACCCATCCAGCACGCCGCCGGGGTCGGCGGACATTTGAGCCCTAAACCCTGAATCATTAAACCCGAAAGCCTGAAACCTTAAGTCGGTTCAGACAAGCCATGTCACACAGTCGTGTCGGAAAGGATTACAGAAAACCCGGCAAGTAGAAACGCAGCTTAAAAGCCCTAAACCGTAAACCCTTAAAGCCTGTATAGAACTCAATACGCGTATTCTATAGCTATACTCGGGAACCTGTGCAGAGCAAGAACAATAAGGATCCTTAAAGACTGCTATATAGGGAATCTCTAGCAACAACAATACGAAACGTACGATCCCGACACTCTAAGCCCTAAACCCTAAACCCCTAAACCCCTAAACCCTAAACCCTAAACCCTAAACCCCGAAACCCTACACCCCTAAAGTTCCTGGTCGAAAGGGGAGCCTACAAAGGACGGGTTGCTCTTTGTTGTCTCGGGTTTAGAGCCCTGATCCCTGAGCCCTGGAACCATTTATCCCTATAGGACCACCGATAGAACCCTATAGATCCCTTGCACTTTATGGGTTTAGGGTTCAGGGTTTAGGGTTGTAACCCCTGTAAGAACACCATGAAAGCCTCCACATCGCGAAGAAAGCTGTTAGGGTTTAGGCTTTCATGCTGAGGCGTTGTTTCCACTGGGCCGAGGAAGACCCTCTTCAACGGGTCTGCTGGGAGGAGCTCGTGGAGCTTGTGTTTATTCCCAGAGAGCGAGTTTGAAGTTTAGGATGTAAGGTTTAGAGTTTACGGTTTATGGTTCTTGTAGCAAGGTTTCGAGAGATTTTTGAGGAGTTTTTGTAGTAGTGCATGGCCAGTTTCAGTAGAGATTTTAGTAGCAAAGTTGTCGTCATAAGCAGCTCCAGCTACAGCTGCTTCAGCAGTCCCCCGATACCTACCAACGCCGATCACTACGCCCCGAACCCTAAGACACCAATTTCTCCAACCTCTGCACCTCAAGCCCTAAACCCCAAGGGCAGGACACTATCAAGCCGAAACCC